GTTGAGTTGTAGGAGTTTTATATACATATATATATAGTCTGGATGTTAAACCCTTATCAGATGACTTGCAATAACTTTCTGTCCTACGGGGGTTGTCTTTTCACTCTTGATAGTCTCCTCTGATGCACAAAAGAGGTTTAGTCTTCAAAGGAAAATTGCAGTGGCAGAAAAAACACCAGGCAAATACCAAATACTGGCTACAACCAAGTGACCCCAGCTGGAGCTCCGGATCATCCTAGACTCCTTTTTTCCCTTCACTTCATTCATTCATTCACTTGCTTAATCATTCATTCATTTATTTATCGAACAAACTCAGAGCCTAGTTGAGAAGACCAGTATGGACATAGAGGACTACCGTGCTGCATGCTGAGAACGGCAGCCATGGGGAAAGGCCAGGGGGCTGCGGTGGGCGCACACTTCCAGCCATACAGTGGATTAGACCTTCGTGTCTCCAAATTTGCCCTTCCTCTCTGCTCCTATCGCCCCTCTAGTCTCATCCCATTAGTCTGGGCCCTCTGAGAAGCTAGCACAGGATGAGGTGAAATATGGAAGGATGTCCTTAGGGAAAACACCTATGGGAGAGAAAAAGGGAGGGAGGGGAAGGCGGGGATGATGCAAATCTAGCCCCAGGGGAAGAAGACAGGGAAGGAGGGTCAGGTGGAAGGGTTTTGTCTGCTGGACATGCTAAGGAGAGTTCGGCAGGCGTCAGGGAGTCCTCAAGCTGAAGTCAACTGTCAGGGGAGTCCTGTGTCTCCCAGGAAAGGGCCTGCTTAGTATGTCTCCTGAGTCAACGGCAAAGAGCATCCCACGGGAAGCATGGCCTCGGGGCACACACAGAGCGCAGCAGCCCTTGGTCCATTATCTTCCCCGTAGTTGGAGGTCATGCTCATTCGCATGGCCCCCACAGGGCCACCAGAGTGATCTTTCTAAAATGCAATCTCACCATGCCACTCCTCTGCTCAAACACCTTCCATCGCTCCCCACTGTCCTCAGGCTAAAGCCCAGCTCCTTACCCCAGCTCTCAAGGTTCTCCAGGGGGAAGCAGGCCATTTGCCCTGTGTGGTATCTTGCCCACTAATCCTCACTCCTACCCAGCCATGCTGGACTGATACCTGTTGCCCCCCAGACATGCTGTCCTTTCACTCCTCCATGCCTTTGCCCACCTTGGGCCCTCTGCCTGCAAAGCCCTTCCCTACATCTTCCTCGCAAAGCCTAGCCTCCACGTCAAGTACCTTCCCCAGCTTCCCAGGCTCAGTCAGCAGCATCCCCTGGCTCCATCTCTGGTCCTGCCTGGGTCCTCTGGAGTAGACGGAGGATTCCTGGGGCCATGTCAGGAGAAGGAGACAACTGCCACAGCACTGCTGGGCTTCCCTCTTTTCCTCCCAGTGCAAGCTGGCTTGGATGGCCTCGAAATACCCTCATACCCGTGTCCTCCTCTGCTGTGGTCACAGCAGAAACCCAGTGCCCAGTGTCCAGGACAACCAGGGATAGAAGCCCAGCCCATCCAAGCCCTGCTCCACCGCCCCACTTTGCAACCCTGCCTTCCTGGACTCAGGATTCAATGCTTTATTTTTAGACCACTTGTTGGACTGGGGCTCCAGGAATCTGCCTGACGCCTGAGGTGTAACCAGACCCCACTGGTACTGGCCTTGAGCTGTAGTTCGGCAGAGAAGCAGTGAGGGGTTCCAAGGGCAGTGCTGGGGGCTGGGGCCCCAGGGAGGCAGCACACTAGGGCAGGCAGACCCTCCACTGAGATCTGGAGGTGGGGGTCTTTCTCTCCCAGCGCATGAGGGGCCCCTACAACCTGACCCACCTGAGCCCCTCCTTTGACACCTGGGCCCAGAAAGCCCAAGGATACCAGCAGCAGTTCGAACTCACGTCTTCACAGGCAGTCACCCTTAGGTCAGGTATCAGCTCCCTCGGCCCCCTCTCTTCCCTGCTCCACACTGTTCTACACCAGGCTGAGTTTGCCTGCCTGCCCCTGAGGGCCTTAATATGTGCCTCTGCCCAAATCAAGTACCTCTACTCTGTGCCAGAAATGCAATCATCTCACATAGCCCTCACCACACACTGTGAGGTGGGCGCTGCTGTGATCCCCATTGTACAGATGAGGAAACTGAGGCTGGGACAGGGAAAGCTAACCACACTGCCCTCAAGTCAGCAAGTTCATGTTTCTATTGTGAAACCTTGCATGCTGTTTGTTCATTTGATAAATATCTTATCTGTGCACTCCAGGCTCCCTTTTGAGGAAAGTAAGTTATACACAAGTGCTTGAAATCCAAACCTCAGAAACTAACTTTCCGTGTCTTAGTTTTCCTGTCTGTACAATGGGGATCGTGGACAGGTGCTACCTCTCAGGGTTGTGATGAGGATGAAACGACACGGTGTATGCAGAGTGCTTGGCTCCACATCCAGCACAGAACAAGTACTGAACAGATGTTAGCTGCGGATATTATCTTCTAAGTATAGACGGATTATTCCGTAAAGCATGAAATACCCAGTGGCTGGAAATGATGCTTAGGGAGAGTATGTAGGAACGGAAAAATGCTTATTATATATGAAAGAGAAAAGGGCCCAAAATAAAAATAAATGCCCTCATGCACTAAAAAGACTCACAGGAAACACACCAAAATACCATCTGTGGTGGATTTTGGTTCTGGGATTTGGGGCAATTTTTTTTCTAACAAAATGTAAAAGGAGGTAATACATCACTAAGAAGAAGCACAGTTCTCTTCACACTGATACTCAGGTGCAGTGCAATCCCAGCAGAGCTCCCAACGGCTTCTCTGCAGAAGTGGACAAGCTGATCCTAAAACTTGTGTGGAAATGCAAGGGACCCAGAACAGCCAAAACAATCTTGAAAACGAGGGACAAAGTTGGAGGGCTGGGCCCCCGGTGCTGCTGTCAGGGCTGAGCTGAGAGCCGAATGTTGAGATAACATAGCCATGACTATCAGGAACATTCCCTACTCGTGGGTCATTTGTTCTGTTGAAAGAAGGCCTTAAGCTTCATTGACAGAGGCGTCTTAGCACAGAGCAGAAAAATTCTTGCAGTACAAGGTGCTTTGGGAGGTAGCAAGCCTTTCATCCTTTGAGGTGTGGGAGCTGAGTTGGAAAACCCCCAAAATGAGAGAATGTAAAAGTCCTGAGGAGTTCTTTAGTCTCACGGTTTCCGAATGATAAAATTTTCACCAGACCACAGTGACTTGAGGGCAAAGGACACAGAGTGAGATTTCCATAAAGCTTCATTTTTCATTTTAAGCCCCACTTTGTTTCTGATGACAATTTCCCTGCTTTTTTGATGCGGGACTATCCTTTCTGTTATAAAATGATGCTGACAGTTGATGTTTTTTGCTATTTTTATTTCCTTAATTGGCAAGATAAGGAGTTGGCAGCCCTCCTTTTCTCACTTTATAAAAATATTCTGGGGGACTCCCCTGGTGGCGCAGTGGTTAAGAATCCGCCTACCAATGCAGGGGACACTGGTTCGAGCCCTGGTCTGGGAAGATTCCACATGCTGCGGAGCAACTAGGCCCGCAAGCCACAACTACTGAGCCCGTGTGCCACAACTATTGAAGCCCGCATGCCTAAAGCCCGTGCTCGGTAACAAGGGAAGCCACCGCAATGAGAAGCCCGCTCACCGCAACTAGAGAAAGCCCGTGCACAGCAACGAAGACCCAATGCCAGCCAAAAATAAATAAATAAAATAAATTTTTTAAAAATTAAAAAACAATTCTGTAAGTCTGAGAACTCCCAAATCTGGGAAATACTGGGACTAAACTGCAGCTGCCTCAGGGATGCTCTGCCTGGGGTGGGAGACTGCGCTAGCCAAGCTCTGTCAGAACACAGGCTTGGTTTCCACTCACAGCTCTGTCACTGACTTGCTGTGGGAACTTGACAAGTTACTACAACTCCTCGAGTCTCTGTTTCTCCATCTGCAAAAGGAGGATGATAGGATGATGTACACATCTCAAGGCTGTTGCGAGAATTAAACCACATAACGGACCTGGACAATCACAGACACTTGAGAAAGTGTCTTTCAGAGTCCACGAGCTCAGTAAAGGTCCCCATTTTTTTCTTCGGCAAGTCAAAGAGTTGTCACTTCTTCAATTATTCTTTACATCCCCACTCTAGTTTCTTCTTCCGTGTATTCTCTAGTTTGTCACTGTCACTCTTGATATATGAATCTAGAACATATTCTACTGGCGTGGTCTGGCTGTGTACAAGAGAGAACCTACTATCACCTCCTTCAGTCTAGACTCGATACCTCCACTAACACAACCCGAGTTTGCAATGGACTTTTTTGTGCTCTTATCTCACTTCTTTGGTATTTGTTGAGCTGAGAATACCTAACAGCTCCAGATCTTTTTCACAAGAACGTTTGCAAAACCCTGCCTCCTATTCCAAACCTCTGCAATTGAAGTCTTGGACCTAAAACGAGGGGCTTTTTGCATTTATTCCCTTTTATACTTTGTCCAGTAGGACAAGGTGCCCCCTCTGACTAGATGGGGTCAAAGAAGACCTCAAATGTATTCTCACACTCAAGAAACTGAAAGGAATATTTAGCTGACTCTTTTTAGTCCAGGGAAGAGAATGTTTATTTGAATCTTAATGGAGTCCAAGGACAGCAGGGCTGGCACTAGGTAATAGGAAGACCTGGATGCTGTGGATTTAGTTCCCCCAAATCTCACCTGTATCGGGTTCACCCCAGGGGCCTGACGTGGTACTTCCCTGCCTCAGGGCAGTGGACCATCTGTCTGTCCCGGGATGGCCTGGGGACTTGAAAGAATTCACAAGCCCCGACTAATTACACCTTGCAGGGCCGAGGGGTCTCCCACTGTCTCCTGAGAGGAGTGATGTCCCAGGATCCTCCCGCTGATCCAGGCCCCGGGAAGGGCACAGGCCCGCACCCTCCCTCTCCTGCCATCCTGGCAGCTGGGTTGCATGCCAACACTGCCCGAGGGACACCTTGGCCAGGCTGGTGCCAATGTTCAGACCACATGGAAGGCAAAGTACTCTCTTTATTGCTCTAGCTTGGCCCGCCAGCGTGTCTCCCAGGACGCTGCTCTGTCCTCGTGGGCTGAAAGGATGCAGTGGTGGTCACACCGGGGCCTGGCCTGGCTGCCCACCTGGCACTGGCCTCAGTCGGTCTTCCTGAAGCCTGGAAGGCAAAGCCCACAGGATGGCATGAGATTCTGAAAGCAGCCAGGCCTCCTCCCCACCATTACCCCAGATGCCCAAATGCCCCTCATAGCTGGGATAAGGCAGTCATGACCCACAGCCATTGCAACAAATTTCCCCTTTATGCATGAGATGGATTAAAGGAGACAAAAGTTCATGACACGGAGGCACACAGCCCCTGGTCTCTCAGTTTTGTGATTTAATGGTAGACACAGAGCTGCTGGTCAAGAAAGGGGATCTCCTTTAGCCTGCCCAGCCACCCTAGCTGTGTGACTCTGGGCAAGTCACTCTACCTCTCTGATGAACGTAACTGACTAATGAGTTTCCTCATCAGCCAAGTGTAAGATAACTGAAACCCCCTCTCACCCCCAGCAGGGCAAATAAAATCACAAAGAAGATACTGTTTGGAGAGATGCAAAGTTCTATGAGAGAATGAGGAATACCAGGTCCCCTCCACTTTCCTACAATGGTTCAGACTTAAGGACTTTTACATCCATTCCTCACTTGATTTTCACAACACCTTTGTGCTGTAGGTATTATTACACCCATTTTCCAGTTGAGGAAACTGAGGCTAAAAGAGGCTCTAGAGCCCCAGAAATGCTAAATTGAAGGAGGCAGGACTTGAACCCAAGCCCATGACTCCAGGCCCTGTGCTCTTTCCAGTATGCTAAGCCTCATTTGCAACAGAAGACCCTGGCAGGGAGAGAAAGTGAACATAGAAGAATGTAAAAGTTACCTATCAGCCTAAACTTCTGAAAGAGGGGAATGAAGCCATGCAGGATGCTGTGGATCCGGTACACTGTCAAGAACGGAGGAGAGAAAGGTGATGGAGCTCTGTGTCCCCTCGAAGGATCCGGGGTCAGACCTCCCCCTGCCTGCCCTTGAACAAAGGTCTAACCCGTAAAAACAAAGCTCTGATGGTGGAATTTCAGGCTGCAGGTTAAGCTTAGATAATGGTATTGAGTACTTATTATTAAAAACAACCATGAGCAGCAATAACAATGCCAGGAAGCTCAGAGAATTCAGTACCTCACTCCATTAACTGCCTTGTTTTCAGTATCTGGCTAATTCTGTTTGTTTGCCACTTTAAACTGTCTTTGTTGTATTTTTATGGAGCTGCCCATTTTTTCCATGGGGTTTTGCCAACGACCTCACATTGACCTTGAAAGCGGTCAGGAAGCAAACACGAGCATAAAGAAATCTTTATAAAAAGTTTAGGTCGTGGCTTTCCAGCCCTTGGCGAGCCCCTGCGGCCAGCCCAGCTGCTGCCCTCCCAGAGACAGTGTGCGAGGGTCTTACCCAGGCCAAAGTAGATGCCAACGGTCTCCAAGGAGGCGAAGGTAAGCAGCCCGACCCCAAGGGACATGAACCAGTCTGCAGGGGCAGCGGGGGAGAGAATGGTCATCCTGCAAGTCTGGACCTCTGCCCCCTGTCCTCACCCCCCACACACTCACCTTTATAATAGTGATAACACACCAGCAAGGCCCCAATGGCAAAGCAGAGGAGGATGAAATGGAAAAACTCATCTGTAAAGGCAGAGGTGAAGATTACTGTTTGCTTCTTTCTCTCTTTTTAATTAACTAAAATATTCCTGTCTCTGCTCAAAGGGAGCTTTATTCAGAGAAGCTGCTCCTGACCAGCCCAACTAAAACAGCACCCCAAGCCCCACCCGTTTCAGCCCTCACCTCACTTTATTATTTTTCTGACACTTATCACCACTCAGCTTGCTGGATTTTCACTGCTGTGTTTATTCTCTGACCCACTCTGTAGGATGGTGGTTGGGGATTTTGCCCATCATCTAAAGCGGCGCCGGGCATGCAGAGGTGTCCGACGCCTTATTTGTCGAATGATGCTAAATACAATTGTAAAAAATGCACGTGCCTAGTTTAAAAGTTTCCCATTGCTCCATTCTCCCTTCCTAATCCAACTCCTTAAAAGCAAGCAGTGATTGACAAAACTTTTCCAAGTATATACATGCACATTCAAAAAAAACAAAAGCAGGATCGGTTTGTGTACCTGCTGCTCTATGGTTTGTTTTCCTCTCTTTGATAGATTGGGGCCATCCTTTCTATCTCCGAGCATATACAGATCTGCCCTGTTCTTTTTTATATATATATAAATTTATTTATGTATTTATTTTTGGCTGCGTTGGGTCTTCGTTGCTGCGTGCGGGCTTTCTCTAGTTGCGGCGAGCGGGGGCTACTCTTCGTTATGGTGTGCGGGCTTCTCATTGCGGTGGCTTCTCTTGTTGTGGAGCACGGGCTCTAGGTGTGCGGGCTCAGTAGTTGTGGCTCGTGGGCTCTAGAGCGCAGGCTCAGTAGTTGTGGCACACGGGCTTACTTGCTCCGCGCCATGTGGGATCTTCCCAGGCCGGGCTCGAACCTGTGTCCCCTGCATTGGCAGGTGGATTCTTAACCACTGCGCCACCAGGGAAGTCCCTGCCCTGTTCTTTCTGATGGCTGCATAGTGTTCCATGGCATAAACTTACCCTAATTTATGTAACTAGTCTCCCATTGAGGAAGCTAGAAGGGACTGATTTTCTGCACCAAACATCACCGCACATGAATGTGTCTGTGCCCTTGTGTGTGCATTTCCGTGGGCCTGGTGCCCAGAAGCAGCATTGCAGGCTCTTCCTAGTAGTTAATGGAGGTAGAGAAAGCAGCTGGGAGGCAGGGCCCATGCCCTGGGCAGGAATTCAGGGATGGTTTGTGAAGGAGGACCCCCTGCCCTTTGCCAGGCGCAGGAGTCATCAGGGGAGAGAACACAGGGGCCTTGACCCAGGCAGAGGGCTGTGATAGGGAAGATGCCAAAAAGGTTTTTAAAAGAAAGAAAAAGAAGAAAGAGAGGACAATTCAGAGACGGTTCCCTGGAACGAGGCAGGCTCTCTGAGTGGCCAAGGCTGCTGGGAATGTGTCCTACTTTAGTCCAGTTTGGCCACTGATGTGCTGTGAACTTTGGACAAGTGTCCTGACTCCCTTGAGCCTCAGCGTTCTCATTGATAAATCAAGGAGAGCAACCTCTACCGCACTGACGGAGGGATGGATGGGGGTCTTGGAGGGGAAAGTCCTTTGTAAATGGTAAAAGGCAGAGTGAGACTACGTATCACTGCTGTCAGGTGGCATGTGGAAGGCAAGTGAACAGAAGTGAGGAGGGTATTTCTGGTTTTGTTTTTGTTATTTTTTTTCGGGGGGGAAATCAAAAGATTATTTCTAGAACATTCTTGGCTCTGAAATCAATTTGTCCTTTAGGGGAAAAAAAGACGTCATGCAGAACTAGACTTAACGTTTAAGAAAGCATCAGGCTTAGGTCTGTTCAGAGATGTGACAGAGTGGGGGTGAAAACTCTTTCCTCACCCAAATCTTCAGGAATGCAAAATGAATTCCTAGCAGAGAATTTCTCCCTGATCTTTCCCCCATTTTCTTATGAGTAAATACTTAGAAAATACAAGTGTTTTTAGAAAGAGAGAGACTGCAGAGAAATGTAAGACCAAACAGAGGGCTGGATGGGTAGGGCAGCTTAGTTTGAAAGAGCAAAAAATTAGAAATAACCTAAACATCTATCAAGTGGGGAATGGTAAATACATTATAAGGTACCCACACTGTGGAATTGGATGCAGTTGTAAGATGTCATAAGCATTCAGGACTCACCATATCTGGGACAGGGATTAATGGAAGAAAGAGAGTTTGAGGTAAGCCTTAAAGATAGCCAAGGCAGTAGGAGTTGGATGAAAGGGAAGATTTTGTGTGTGTGTGTGCACGCGCGCGTGCGTGCGCACATTCACGTGCCATGAGACAGGTAAGAAGGTGGGACCAAGGCACAGACCCGGTACAGTGAAGGGTTCAACCAGGTGAGCGCAGGGTAAGTGAATTTCTGGGAAGAGAACTTCAAGTTTTAGGGAACTAGAAGTTTTGGGGGCTGAAGAGATCAGGCCAGGATAAGGACTCCAAGGTGTATTGGAGCCAAGAGGGACCTAGGGGATCACCCTTGTCTGTTTTTTCTGATTTCAGCCATCCACACACCACCTTTGTGGGTTTTGCCCTTTCTACGTAGCACTGCTTATGACCTTCACAATTTCTTGCTACCCAAGGACCACCTGTACTATTTACTTAAAGTTTTTCTTTAAGCAGATTCTTATTTTTCCTTAAATAGATTTACTTGAAAAGGAAACTTCATGTCACAACACTAAGTGGAAAACTAGGATCCCATGTCTTAAGAACAAACACAAGGCCCATAAAGCAAGACGGTGAAGGTCTGCCCGCCGCTGCCTGCAGACGGCTCTGCGCACAGTCCTGATCTCTGTGTCCGGAGGGCAGTGAGCAAGGGTCAGGGTGGCACTAAAGGCCCAGGGGCTCCAAGCAGAGAAAGAGAGGGGAAAGGGCAGTCACCTTCTCACTTGGGGGTATAATGCCATGTCCTGAAGCAACCTGGACATGGCCTGCGCTTTGGGAATCTCGGTTTTAGTGGGATGAGGCTCACTTCATAGCCCGGGACAGCTCGACAGCACGTCCCAGTTCATGTAGCTTGATGGAGGCAGAGCCAGGGGCTCAGACACAGGTCTCCCACTCCCTAAAGGCGGGCTTTTGAACAACTCAAAATATTTCTAGAGGGCTTCCCTGGTGGTCCCGTGGTAAAGAATCCGCCTGCCAATGCAGGGGACGTGGGTTCGATCCCTGGTCGGGGAACTAAGATCCCACATGCCGCGGGGCAGCTAAGCCCGCGCACCGCAACTACTGAGCCTGCACTCTAGAGCCCGTGCCCTGGAACAAGAGAAGCCACTGCAATGAGAAGCCCACGCACCGCAACGAAGAGGAGCCCCCTCTCGCCACAATTAGAGAAAGCCTGCACACGTATACCCAACGCAACCAAAAATAAATAAATACATTTATATATAAAAAACAAAACAAAACAAAAACTATGGTCTCGGGAGTTCCCTGGTGGCATAGTGGTTAGGATTCCAGGCTTTCACTACTGGGACCCGAGTTCAATCCCTGGTCAGTGAACTAAGAAGATTCCACATGCCTCGCAATGTGGCCAAAAAAAACCCCCAAAACCCCCCCAAAAAACATGGCCTCCTTTCCCACCCTTACCCTCCTCCCTGAAGCCCCCATGATTCCAGGCCTGGAGTCGAGGCAGTCCCTCCGGTTCTCATCACTCCTTCCCTAGAGTCCAGTCTAATCTAACCTCACAGCTTCCTCGGCCCAGCCTGTTCCCAGCTCCCCATTATGGCCATAAGGTCTGGAGGGCGTTTATCATGCTAGTGACTCGGCGTACAGCAGAAAGAGCACAGGACCAGGATCCAAGCCCAAGTCGTGTCACTCACTAGCTGTAAGACCACTCTCCGTCCTTGAGCCTCAGTTTCTATATCTGCAAAACAGGAATCATTGTACCACCTTCTCAAGGTGATTCTAAGCTGAGGATTTTGCAAACCGCAGGGCCCGCAGCAGAGACGGGCCATGATTACTGTCGTTCCAGGCCACCAGCTGACTTTCTACCCAGAGAAATCTGGACCAGACAAAAGCAGCAGCCCTGGAACCCCAAGTTCCTTACCATCCTTCTTTATATTTAGTGTTCTTAACTGAGAGGGCTCCACTTCTCCTTGGGAACAAGAGAGAGATGAGGGTTTAACTCTGACACAGTATAGCTGGTGGGATTCTCGCTCCCCTGCCTCACTGAGAATGGCTCTCCCAGGTTCTATTTCCTGGATCAGAGGGCACTCACTGCAGGACCGGTCAGGGCAAAGCTTGAAGGTGGGGTGGCTGTCCTTGGACCTCCACTGATGCCCTCCTCCTCCACAGGCCTGTGTCTGTTCTGTTCCATGTCCCCTGAGCCCGGAGGCCCCTTTCCTGGATCACGGTGACACTCTGGCTGGTGACGGCATTGCTGCTGGGACTGATCTCCCTCCCCCCCAGGCTGCCTGTGGTCCTGTCCCAGCCCCTGGAATCCAGGCCGCCTCCCACTCCCCTCTCGGAGCTTGCATATTTACCACTCTCTGGATTAGAGCCTCTCCTTCGGAGTCCTGGAAATTAGAAACTCAACATTAGTGCCCAGGCCAGCTTGGGGCCTTAACGAGTGCCACAGGTGACTTCTGAAAACGCCCCTGTTGAATTCTCCAGCCCCCAGGGGATCTTTCTATCTATAGATTGTTATTAATAATCCCTTTGTTCTTGCCTGGACCCCCTTTCTAACCCCACTGGCCCCCTGTCTCATGCTACAGCCAGCCCCGCCTGCTTGCTGAGCCCAGGTCAGAGCCCCAGGCCCCAAGGAGACTTGGAGTCCCATCTCTCACAGCCGTGCACCTGATAGCACCTGCCTCTTTTGGGGGAAAGACGGTGCCCAGACCTCGTTCAACACCAGTACCAACGACCCCTCTCCCCTAAAAGACACTCACCTGATTCCTCAGACGGCACCACCTCCCCGGGGGCACCTGCACAGAAGGGAAATCAGTGACTGCATATTCATATCCTCTGGGTGGGGAGAAGTTACACTGCAGAGAGACTTCCCATTGATCTGCAGGGGGCACTGGAGCAAACTGGAGGGTTCCTCTTTCATCTAAAGAGGCAGGCACCACCCCACAGTCCCCGAAAGCTGCCGCAGCAATGCCTGCCCCATGTTACAGGTCTTCTAATTTCCCATGAGAAGCCAGAAATCCAGGTTTTTAAATAAACTTCTTGACTATAAAAAAAGCTGGCAATTCATATTCCATCGAAGCAAATATATCATGGTTTGTGAGAATGACGTCATTTTATGGAAGGAAAACTACTGCCAATTATAACTGCAAGTTGCCAGTGATTTTAAGAGGCACCCTGATTTCACAGATCTCCAGATGTGAAAAACTGTTAGTTGTAGACGTGATGAAATATATTAAGAAAATAATAATAATAAAGATACTCTGTGAGCCAGATAATATACATCTGTACACACAGGCCACCAGTTTGCAATGTGTGCCTGTTCATTCCTATCCAGATGCAGGTGAGGATACTTAGCCACGTGGCTCCAGCCCCACCAGGCCCTGAGCTTGTGGAAGCCAAGCTGGGTTGTACCATGGGGGCCCTGGCCCCTGACCCCAGTGTGGAGCTCCTGTCTGGGCTGCCTAGGGTGAATCGAGCCCTATACCCGCCCTGAGGTGCAGCCTTCCCTTTAATCTGGCCTGGGTGGCCCTCCCACCTCATTCACACTCTGGTTCTTTTTTTTTTTTTTTTTTAAATATTTATTTACTTAGGCTGCGCTGGGTCTTAGTCGTGGCACGCAGGAACTTTAGTTGTGGCATGCAGACTCTTAGCTGTGGCATACATGAGGGATCTAGTTCCCCAACCAGGGATCGAACCCGGGCCCCCTGCATTGGGAACGCGGAGTGTTTCCCACTGAACCACCAGGGAAGTCCCCACCCTCTGGTTCTTGGCGCCTACTCTATTCCCAGTGACTTCTCTCCTAGCCTGTTACCTTCTTCCCCTCAAGGGGAGGCAGGAGTCCCCACTCTGTACACTTCCACCCTCCAGATCAGCCCCAGGACACAAACACCTGAAGGGGGCACTCAGCTCATGGCAATAAACACTCAGTATGCTGAACTGTCTTTAGGCTAATGTGCAAACAGGAGCCAGTGTCTGCAAGTGACCAGAGAGGCCAGCACCAAGGGTACAGAAGGCAAACCAAGAACGGCATGAAATGAGACTCCGGCCGTGTAATTACCAAGTACCTCTGGTGTCTTGGGAGGGGGGAGGTGGGGCGGGGAATTCATTACTTGGGGGAATTAATTCACAAATACGTGACAATATCTACGTTTTCTACAGTGAACATGACTTACTTTTTGATGAGAAAAAAACATTTAAAATGTATGTATATGTAACAGTTTCTCTCTCATTTTACACTCAGTGAAAACTTTCTTACACTACTTAATTAACAACATTTAAAAAAATTAGATAGTACCTGTTTTTGTTTAAAAAAAAAAGAAAAAGAAAATCAGAAAATTCAGATGAAAGAAAAGTGTGGAGATTACTCACAATGCTGCCACCCAGTGGCAGCCACTGGTAATACCTTGATGCAGAATATTAAGGTATTTCATTTCCATTTCTTTGAATGTATATGTGTTTCCCGTTGTATTTCTTGGGTTATTATCTGGCATTAGGAGACTAAGCAGATTATGTAAATGTTGGATTAAACAAAGTTAAACAGGTTTTCTTATCTGGCAGTGTTCATTTATGAGGCTTTTTGGCAAACTGGTTCATTCCTACAATTCCTCCATCTCATCAAAGTGCTACCAAGCAAAGTGCCATAATATTTATATCTGCTCGCTGTAAAAATCATGATGCTTAGAGACAATTACTCCGTAATTTGAGTTTTGTAGAAATCAGGTCCTTAATTTTCCCTTGCATGCTTAAACAACCCAGTATTCCAAGAGAGAGGGTACTGATTAAGTTCCATCTTGCTGGTTGGAAAGCGGAGGCCCAGAAAGGTTGGGTGACTGGTCACAGTCAACCTGCAAGTCAGGGTTATAGATCAGAAGAGATTCCAGGACAGTCTGACTGTGGCAGAAAATGCCTGCCCCCACCTCCATCTGCCCATGTTATAACCACTCACCTTGCCACATCTCCTATATCTGCCCAGGACTTTGAGCTCATGAAACACCCTCATCACCTTGTTTCCTCCCAACAAAGCCCTAAGCCTTCATGTCCTTTGTTTAATTCTGTTTCCCCCAAAGCCACTGGACAGACAATCACCTTCATAGAGTTGAAGCTCATCCTTCAAAACGTCAGGCTCCCCATGCTCAGCACCTGGGTGTAGACAAAGCCTGTTAGTCAGCTCCCCCCAGTTACAGCACCCCAGAGTGGCTTCCCTCTCCTGGTGTCGGAAGCCTTAAAAAGTAACATAGTCTTTGCGCTGGGGGTGAGGTGGGCGCTCTTCAAGAGGCAAGACAGCTGTACAAGAGCTTTCCTGCTGCTCTGTCTGACGCCCCTCACACGCCCCGAGGTGACTGTGTTCAGCTGACTAAAGAAGAATTGGGGGCCTGAGAGGACCTGGGCCTCGTTCAAAGTCAGTAATAAGAGTCGCCATTTTCTGAGCACTTACTATGTACCAACACTGAACTAAGTAATTTATAGTTAATATTTCATTTGATCCTCTTGGAAATGCTGTAAAGAAGGTATTAATGCCTCTCCCTCCCCATTTTACAGATAAGGAAACTGAGGCTCACAAAAGTTAAGTTATTTGCTGAAAGTCACACAGTCAGGAAGCAGAAATTCCAGGGTTCAAACCCAGGTCTGTCACCAAGGCCTGCATTTCTAATCATTTTTATCTCCAAAAATAGAACCCAGAGCTCAGCTCCAGAGTCATGAGAGCATTTATTAAACACCTTATGTGTGCCAGGATCTGTACTAGACATTAATCCAGGCTCTTTCCCCCAAGTTCTTTTCTTCCCACAATCAATTTAGGCTAACATTTATTAAAGTTTTTTTTTTAAAAAAAATTATATTCTTCTGGTTATAAATATAAAAAAGATTATTGTAAAATATCTATGGTATAAGTCAATTCAAAAAAAAACAAGAAAATGAAAATCACCCATAATTTAACCATCCAGAGATAACCACTATTAACATTTTGATATTCTTCCTTCCAGTCTTGTTTACAATCATGTATGTGTGAATTTTTACAAAGTGTATATGAGATCAAACGAATTCTATGATTTGAATTTCTCTTTTTCACTTTAGAGATGTATGAAGACCAGAGCTCTGACCAGGACAGGGTGTAGCATCACTGCTCTATGTTGCTGTTGTTGGACGTTAGGTTGTTTCTATTGTTGCCCTACTATAAATAACACTGCAAGGAACAAATTTTCACACGGGGGACTTCCCTGGTGGTGCAGTGGTTAAGAATCTGCCTGCCAATGCAGGGGACACGGGTTCAAGCCCTGGTCCAGGAAGATCTCACATGCCACACAGCAACTAAGCCCATGCGCCACAACTACTGAGTCTGTGCTCTAGAGCCTGTGAGCCACAACTATTGAGCACGTGTGCCACAACTACTGAAGCCCTCACACCTAGAGCCCGTGCACCACAATGAAGAGTAGCCCTCGCTCGCCACAACTAGGGAAAGCCCGAGCGCAGCAACTTAGACCCAACGCAGCCAAAATAAATAAATAAATAAATAAATAAATAAATAAATAAATAAATGTATTTATTTATTAAAAAAAAAAATCTTCACACGGACATGCTCAGGCCCACTGAGAAATTCAACCATCAGCCAAGTGGGCAAAGGAGAAATGGTGAGGCCTACTGCCTACTGGGTGAGCTGCCCCTGCAGGGGAGACCAGCCCCCGTCTCTGCCAACGTTTTCCAGTTACTCAGGGGCGCTAGTCCTCATTGCTGCTCTTTGCAGGGAACAAACACAAGCTGTGGGAGAACCTCAGCCTGGATCGAGCCTGGAATATCTCATTCTGGTGTCGGTTCTCAAAATTTAGTTTATGTGAGGAGTGTGGTCTGGGGGAAGAATTCTGCTTTGAGGGTTAGGGGACAGGAACTGCCATGAACTTTCTGTGTGACCTCAGACAAATCACTTACTATGTTCAATACGGCTTTCACTAAGATAAGACAAGGTCCTGTGAAGTATCGTGTTACTGAGGTGCTTTCCCTCCTGCCCAGTATGGGGGCTGCATCAACTGTGATGCCACCAACGCCACGCTGACTCTGGGTTTGCTCGTGCTCTGTCTCCCACCTGGAATGCCCTTCCCACTTGCTCCCTTATCCTGAAGCTTAAGCTGATGTCACACCTCCTGTAGAAGGGCTTTTCCAGCTGCCCCAGCTCACACACATCTTGCCCACCCTCCTCTGGGGTTTCTATAGCATCAACTGTCTGTGCTTGACACAGTGGGCATGAGGGTCCCTGGTGATGCTCATCCCTCCAACCACCTTGAGCTCCTGAAGGACGAGGCCTGGGTATCACTGTCCTAAGGCTGCCCCGCCTGCAGCAGGAGTTTGATTAAAGCCTTGAAGAATGACCGCGTTGTTGGCACTCTTGGATTGGTCAGCATTCTGGGGATTCAGGCCTAGGAGTTTCTGGCTTCAGGTCCAGAGGACTCCCTTTTCCTCAGGATGACCAAGAGGGCCCCAGCAGTCCCGATGTTCCTCAGCGGGCTTGGGGACCTCCTGGTCTATCATGGATAAATTTTTTAATTATAGGAAACCAAGTTAACTGTGCTTAAAAATCAGTGCGGAAAAAAAAAAAAATCAGTGCGTATGTGATCTCAACTAGGCACAGAAAAAGAGGTATCAGGAAGTACATCAAGATAACAACAGCGGTATTTATCTCAAGAGATGGGATTTTGAGTGGCTTCTATTTTCTTCTTTTCTGTATTTTACAAATATCAATGCCCCCAAAAGGCTTTTTCATCATATTTTGCAAAATATCAAACAATACAGAAAATAAGAAAGCAAAAATTACTCCAAATTCTATCCAACAGGGACAATCTCTATTAACATTCACATGAATATTATTTTAGTTTTCTCCATGATATATTCATAATTTTTTTTTTTTTTTCTGTACGCGGACCTCTCACTGTTGTGGCCTCTCCCGTTGTGGAGCACAGGCTCCGGACGCACAGGCTCAGCGGCCATGGCTCACGGGCCCAGCTGCTCTGCGGCATGTGGGATCTTCCCGGACCGGGGCACAAACCCGCGTCCCCTGCATCGGCAGGCGGACTCTCAACCACTGTGCCACCAGGGAAGCCCCATAAGATATAATTTTTAAAACTTGTTCAAGGATTGATTTTTTTCCTTTTCCATTATGGTTTATTACAGGATACTGAATATAGTTCCCTATGCATAATATATAATTTTTAATAAAAGGTATTGTAGAATTGTATGCTGTCAAGAATGAGGATAATTTTTCTGTGTTCTAATTCAATTGTTTAAAAAATTAACTCTGGCAGAAAGAATCACGTTTGTTTCTGGTGTCCCGAGTATCCATCACTGAGCCTGGCACATAGTTGATGCTCAATAAATATTTATTGAATAAATGTAAGGAGATACACTAATATGTGTTTAGTGGTTATCTAACAGAGCAAAGGATGATTTTTTTCCTTCTTTCTACTTCTTTGTATGTTCCATATTTTCTACAATGTGCCCATGTGTAATCTTTCATAATGAAAAAACGTTTGAATTTAAAAATAACAGGATAGGGACTTCCCTAGTGGCGCAGTGGTTGGGACTCCATGCTCCCAATGAGGGGTGCCCGGGTTCGATCCCTGGTCAGGGAACTAGATCCCACGTGCATGCTGTGATTAAGAGTTCACATGCCACAACTAAGGAGCCGGCAAGCCTCAACTAAGGAGCCCGCGAGCCACAACTAAGATCCAGCATAACCAAATAAATAAATATTTTTAAAAACCCAAACAGGATACATTAAGAACAAAAAGCTGGGCTTCTCTGGTGGCGCAGTGGTTGAGAGTCCGCCTGCCGATGCAGGGGACACGGGTTCGTGCCCCAGTCCGGGAAGATCACACGTGCTGCGGAGCGGATGGGGCCACGAGCCATGACTGCTGAGCCTGCGCGTCCGGAGCCTGTGCTCCACGACGGGAGAGGCCACAACAGTGAGAGGCCTGCGTACCGCAAAAAACAAAAACAAAAACAAAAAAAAGAACAAAAAGCTATGTAGGGAGAGTGGTGCTGCATGCCAGACTCTGAGTTAGGGCCCTAACGTGGAGGAAGGTGGGGGGCTGCTGGGAGGCACTCAGGCTTGGGGCCCAAGGACTAATGGTCACCGTCTGAGCCTGAAGAATGGGCAGGGTCTGAGTTCCAGCAGCAGGCCAACCAGGGTAGGACCAGAGACCAGGATCCTGAATGTCAGTCTGTCTCAATGCTTCTAGGACTCCATGTTTATTTTCCTGCTGCTTTCTTTTAAGTGTTCAGTTTTGTTAACTACGCCCAGTCCCATGTGTATGTACTCTGGAGACCAGAAGGAAGGAACTTATGCCCACACTTGGGGGAGAACATTTGTGGGGGAGCAGCAACCCCTGAGGGTCAGAATCAGAAGACAGAATGTCCCTTCCCACCTAGGGAGGACAAACAAAGGGACAGAATCCCGTGTTGTAGCCCTCCTGCCTCTGGAAGCTCTTCTAGAACTAAACCTCACTGGCCTCGGTTTCCTCACCTGTAAAATGGGAATAACAACAATGCCTTCCTCATGGGTTGCTATGAGAATTAACTGAGTTATTCCACATAAAGTGCTTGGAACGCTACCTGGCACAAAGTAAGTGCTCAATAAATGCTAGCTGTGATGTTGCTGCTGCTATAAATTCAGCCTTACCTTTTGAGTTAAAAGAATAAAAGTAGAGAGACATCCTGCTTCTTTTCAGAGAATAATGTGGCAATTTGTAATCAAAGTCCAATTAGAGATGCTCATCCCTCTAAACCCATTAAAGTGCTTGTGGGAGTAGATATGTAGGACTTGATTTGTATGAAAAATTCAAAAAGTAAAGGCTTTTGTGCAAGGATGCTCTTGAGCATGACAAACTGGGGTGGGGAAGAGGGAAAATCTTAACAATAGCAGTTATTTTTAGAGCTATTACTATCTGATAGGTGCTAAGCCTTTGCACCTGTAGAATGTAATCCTCACAGGTATCCTATGAGATAACTTTTGTTATCATCCCCATCTTATGCATGAGGACTCCAGGGCATACAGGGTTAAGCAATTTACCCAAGGACGCTTAGCTAGTTAGTGGCAAAGAAAGGGTATGAACCTGCAGGCTGCTTGAATGGACACATGCACTGCCCCTGATTCTAAAGTGCTCCTACGAAACTTAAACGTTCCTTTACATGAGATGCAGTCACTTGAGGGGCTACTTGGGAAACATGAAAAATAGCCGCTAAGATATTATGGAATAACATGGCAAAATGCTTAGGATAAGATAGCAAAAAGAATTGTAAACCAAGGACAAAATTGTCTATACGGTAATTTTTTGGGTTCTTTTTTTTTGGCCACACTACGTGGCATATGGGATCTTAGTTCCCTGACCAGGCATCGAACACGTGCCCCCTGCAGTGGAAGCACGGATTCTAAACCACTGGAACACCAGGGAAGTCCCTATATGGTAGTTATAACTGTGTACAAGTTACATGTACAGAGAGGCAGGCTCTGGAAGGGAACATGGAAAAAGAGAGCTGTAGTACCGAGGTGGGAGGTTCAGGAGACTGGTTTTTCTTCTTTTCTCTTTTTGTTAATTTTTTTCTTTTTTTTTAATTTATTTTTTTGGCTGCGTTGGCTTTTTGTTGCTGTGCGCGGGCTTTCTCTAGTTGCGGTGAGCGGGGTCTACTCTTCGTTGCGGTGTGCAGGCCTCTCATTGCGGTGGCTTCTCTTGTTGCGGAGCACAATCTCTAGGCGTGTGGGCTTCAGTAGTTGTGGCACACGGGCTCAGTAGTTGTAGCTCGCGGGCTTAGTTGCTCCGCGACATGTGGGATCTTCCCAGACCAGGGCTTGAACCCGTGTCCCCTGCTTTGGCAGGCGGATTCTTAACCACTGCGCCACCAGGGAAGTCCAGGAGATCGGTTTTTCCATGTAAATGCTTGTCTTTAATATTTTAATATAGATTTATTTAATGAAATCATTGCTTTACCTGAGGAGGAGGATGAAGAGGAGGAAGACTTGCCTCTCTCATCTTGGTCTTGAGAATAGAGCTCAGCCTCCTCGTCTTGCTTGTGGAAATCCGTCTCTCCATCTGGGAGGCACACATAGGCAAGGATGAGTGTTTCCTGCCCTTCCTACCCCAGAGACCACCCAGGCCTCCCCAGGGGTCTACTTGGATGTGGGGAGCCAGGAGTGACTGGATTCACTGGGACACTCTTCCCAAGCCCCTAGGGCCAATGGGAGGTACAGGAGACCAGGGATCTCAGAGGCCCTAGAGGCTCTAGGAAGGCCAAAGGCAGACTTTTCTCTGAATGTGGAGCCCAGAGAGGGGCTTCTAAGCCCTCCATCCTTCCCAAGAGACCACTACACTGTGTAGAGCAGTTGCCAATTTAAAATTCTCTGTAAATTACAGGGCAGGTGGGATCCGATCAAGCCATTCTGGGGCCATGCAGGACGCTTCCCACCTTCTGAGGACACTCCCTAGTGCAAGTCCAAGCCCCCAGAGCCTCTGAGATTTGGGGAGCAACTGAGGGTCCACACAGCTAGAGAGCACTGGGGGACAGACTGGACCAAGCACACACATGTGCATGTGTGTAAAGTCACTACTTCTCTAGAGGTTTTGACCGTAACTTGGGCCATTCATTGTGCCGCATGAGCTGAGCAGGGTCTTCTGTTCCACCTACTGCTGGACTTCACCTCCCATGCGGCTTTGCCCAGAGGGTCAGAGAGAGCAAACATACGGTCTAGATCTTCTGATTCTCCGTGGACTCGACTGTGGTCCTGAAGTGATCCTGAAGTCTCCATGGCCTCCCCTGTTGGAATAACAATAGTAATTAATATTACCTTAGTTAATATGTTTAATATATAAAGAGCTTGGCAAATAAATAAGAAAAATATAAACATCCAATATTCAAAGGTACAAGAACAATTTATGAAAAAAGAAATACACAATTAGGGAAATTTGAATAATGATCACCTTTTGATACTATTAAGAGCTTATTTTTTAAAAAAGAGACTTTAGTTTTTACAGCAGTTCTAGGTTCACAGCAAGATTGAGTGGAAGGTAAAAAAAAAATAAAAAAAAAAAAAAATTGAGTGGAAGGTACAAAGGTTGCCCATATATCCCCTGCTCCTAAACGTGCATAGCCTCCCCTGTTATCAACATCCTCCATTAGAGAATTTATTTTTTTAGGTGTGATATTTATATTGAAGTTATATTTATTTAAAGTATTCTTAAATTTAGAGATAAATACTGCAATGTTTATGATGAAATTATATGATGTCTAGGACATGCTTCAAAATAATCTGATTATTTGAATAAGGGAGTTGGAGGGCGTAGGTGGGGGTCCACATATAACAAACACGACCACGAGTTAATAATTGTTGGAGCTATAACAAAATATAAACAGTAGTTAGATCTCTGAGAGTTAGCATTATGGGTATTTTTACTTTGCCTTTTCTAAATTTTTAGCAGTATTGCTTTTTTCTTTTCCTTGTTTTTTCTTTTTCCACTATAGTTTATTACAAGATATTGAGTATAGTTCTCTGTGCTATACAGTAAATCCTTGTTATTTATCTATTTTATATATGGTGGTGTGCATCTGTTAATCCCATACTCCTAATTTATCTCTCCCCCCATTTCCCCTTTGGTAACTGTAAGTTTGTTTTCTATGTCAGTATTTCTATTGTTATAATAAAATAACCAATAATTTTTCATTACTTAAAAATGTAATATACCACCTTATATCAGTACAGTACTTAACAGTTTTACAAAGGGCTTATGTGTCTGTAATTCCATCTGAGCCTGATCACAAACCAGTCTGTTAGGAATTGGAATTAATTACTTCACACCTGAATTGTAGTTTCTAGACAACAAAACTTCCCCAAAGATTGTTTCACTTGACTCTTACAATAACCCTGCAAGGTAAATTTTTTTTTTTTTTTTGCGGTACGCGGGCCTCTCACTGCTGTCGCCTCTCCCGCTGCGGAGCACAGGCTCCGGACGCGCAGGCTCAGCGGCCATGGCTCACTGGCCCAGCTGCTCCGCGGCATGTGGGATCCTCCCGGACCGGGCCACGAACCCGTGTCCCCTGCATCGGCAGGCGGACTCCCAAGCACTGCAACACGAGGGAAGCCCAAGCAAGGTAAATTTTATCATCCTCATTTTATAGAGGAGGAAACTGAGGCTCAAAGAGATGAAGAGATTTGCATGAATTGGGACTCCAGAACCCAAGTTCTGTTTAATGTACCCCAAATATTGGTGTGGAGCACAAAACTGCTCAAAGTCAAGCCCTGCTGGTATGGCTGTCAGGATTACAGATGCAAACGGTAAAGCAAGGGCAGGAAGCAGGCACTTGAAGGTGCAGAATGAGGTTTGGGAATCTGTCCCTTCAGGACACCATACTCTGTGCTTTCCTGAAATTCTGAGTGGGAGCTAGTGGTAACTCGAAGCCGGCCTTCAGATGAGGCCATGAGAAGGCCATAAGTGTGGCCCTGGAAAATCTAAACGGCTAACCCCAGTGAGCTGGTGCTCTCCTCTGGGGAAAATACACGGGGCTGCCATGGTTGGGCTGCCTTGATTTTAGCTGGGCACATGGCCCCCAGCTAGAGACTGTATTTCCCAGCATCCCTTGAAGCTAGGCGTGGCCTTGGGACCATGTGACTCATATTCCCGCCAACAGACCGTGAATGAAGGGGATCTGCGTGGTGGTGAGCTGACAAGATGTTCTAGGGTTCTGGGGGAAAAAGTATACACACACACAGATATGTCTGCTGTAAATTTTACTGATGTAAAGAATGTATGGGGGGATAAATTAGGAATTTGGGATTAACAGATACACACCACTATACATAAAATAGATAAACAACAAGGATTAGCACAGGGAACTATATTCAATATGTTGTAATAACCTATAATAGAAAAGAATCTGAAAAAGAATACTTATATATGTATATGTATAACTGAATCACTTTGCTGTACACCTGAAACATTGTAAATCAACTATACTTCAGTAAAAAATAATAAATAAAATTTTAGAAAGAATGTATAGCACAGAGTTACAAAAAATAAAAATACAGTCCTCTTTATTGTGAATTTCATACACCTCTAGCTTCAGTGTGACTTGGAATTTCTTGCAAAATATACTATCAGTTTTTACAAATCTATCACCAACAATAGTGTCACAAAATCAAACTACAAATAAATGCTCAATCACTACCAAATTCAGAAAAGAGGCTGCTCACATCATGGATGAACAAGAGCACTGCCAACGTGAATGCTGGCTGATAACTTCTTTCATGTTAATAAGTAAGATGAAAGGCAAACAACAAATGCCTTTATCGTCATAGTTTGTCAGTGATATAAGCAACCTCTTTGCTGAATCGAATCATACTTTACAGATTCTGGAAGAATATTTTCTCAACTTTTTGTGTTATTCACAGTGTAATGGCAACAGGTGTAATGCAATGCCTACAGGTTTGAGGTTTAATCTCCATTATTAACATTTGCTTGATCACTTTCTTAAATTTAGACAATCGACAAAGCAAACATTCAAGCTCTGATTTGTAGTGTTTACTGATCTCTGTGACTGATACCACTGTGATGCCATGGACTGCAAAGTTGGGAAGGCTGGGCTTCTCTGGTGGTGCAGTGGTTGAGAGTCCGCCTGCCGATGCAGGGGACACGGGTTCGTGCCCCGGTCCAGGAAGATCCCACATGCCGCAGAGCGGCTGGGCCCGTGAGCCATGGCCGCTGAGCATCCGGAGCCTGTGCTCCGCGACGGGAGAGGCCACAACGGTGAGAGGCCCGCGCACCACCAAAAAAAGTTGGGAAGGCATGGGTAGTGGAACACAGCATTACGCAGTGATTCCACAATACAGATAAAACAGATGTGAAAATCTCAAGGGCCTAGGTAATGGGCAGAATGTGGCAAAATTAATTAGGAAGTGATACATTTTGAATACTTATTAACCTTTTTTTAACATAAATTAGTTATTTATACATTTATAGAATTTAATTTAATAATGGTTCTGTTTAACAACCGATTCCCAGCTCTGGGCTTATAAACTTCTGTGCCTTCTACCTCCTCTCTCCTGCTTTTTGTATGCTGTAATGCAGACATGGGGTGGAGAATAACTTCAATCACGCAAACTGAGCCAACACCCCAGGGAATCCCTGAGCAACAAGGCAAAGGAATCTGGGCCCTGAAAGGCCTCATGCACAAAGCCGTCTGTGCACATGGACCTGTCTCTGGTCATTTATGTGCACAGGAAATGAGTTTCTCGCTTATGTAATCCCAGGGATTCGGTCTCTGTTACAGCATCTCAGCCACGCTGTGCAGGTATCGTTCTGAAGCACCCCCCTGCCATTTCTTCTCCTCCCAGCTCTGAGACTAAGGCCTTAACTTCAAGAGGAGGTAGATTCACTCCTCTCTAACAAGTTTAGACCTTGGTTCCCAACCTCAACGCTCCCCACGTTTGGGACCAATGATCCTTTGCCGGTGTGTGCATTGTAAGGTGTTTAGCGGCCTCCCCACTGGATGCAGGTAACACCCCACCCAGTTGTTGTGACAATCAAAAATGTCACCAGACATTTCCAAATGTCTCCTGGGGGCAAAAATCACCCCTACTTGGGAACCACTGGTCTAGAGAACCTACTCTTTTTTTAAAAGTTTAATTTAATTAAACATTTTTATTGAGGTATAACGCTCATATAACATTATATTAGTTTCAAGGGTACAACATGATGATTCGATATTTGTATATGTTGCAAAATGATCACCACAGTAGTCTAGTTAGCATCTGTCACCATACATCGTTAACACAATTTTTTTTCTTGTGATGACAACTTTTAAGGTCTGTTCTCTTAGCAACTTTGAAATATGCAGTACAGTATTATGAACTATAGTCACCATGCCGTACATTACATGCCCAGGACTTTTTTATTGTGTAACTAGAAGTTTGTACCTTTTGACCCCCTTCACCTATTTCACCCACCCCCAACCCCCCATCTCTGGCAACCACCAATCTCTTCTCTGTATCTAAGACTTTGCGGGGGTTTTGTTTGTTTTTAGTAGAGAATCTACTCTTAATCCACCACAAGACCTTGACAAGGCAGCATCCTTCCCCGTGCCTCAGAGCTGGATTGCCTGGCTGTGAATCCGATCTGACACTTCTAGCTGTGGGATTCTGGGCCAGTCACTTAACCTCTTATGTGCCTCAGGTTTCCCGTCTGTAAAATGGGGACAATGATAGTGTTTACCTCATAGTATTGTTGTGAAAATGGCATGACTTAAGATCCATAAAGCACTCAGAACAATGCCTGGTATAGAGCAAGGGCTGAACAAATGCCAGCTGAGATGATGATCATTATTATGACGGGGCGCAGCAACAAGACAGCATATGCTTTGGGGTGAGACTGACCAGGGTCCAACCCCACTTCCGTCACCTGTGCACGAGATGACCTTGGCAGGACAGGCCCCTTCTCCAAGCTCTAGTTACCTCAATTGTGAACTGGCGATGGCAGCACCTTAGAGAAGAAAGATGGCCAGTGCCTGCCCATAGGAGGGCTTGGTGAGTGTGAGTTCCCTCTTCTACAGACCTCCTATGACCCCTGGACATTCGGGGTCCAGACCCAGCCCCACCCATCTCCCACCTCCTAGGGCCCAGGCTCCATTACCCCTTTCTAGAATAAAAATTCCTATTTCTCAGGGCAGAATTCAGCTAAGCATTAGGAGGTCACTAGCCAATAAAATGAATCGATATCCAGGTATGAATGACTGATGACCACAAGCCTTCAGGGCATATTTATATT